TCCTGCGAAGATAACAAAATTGTGTTTATCTTATTCACAAATGTACAAACTATTGCATGTGTCATGACGAAATGAAACCCTCAAGTGTTGCCATAAACCCTAAAATCAGATGTCATTTATTTTGCTACTAAAAAAAATAAATAAATAAAAAAATAAAGACAAATTCAAGCCAATTTTCACAATTTAATAGAAATATTTCTATTAAACGAAATACTGTACATTGGCAGGAGGGATGAATAAAGTAGAGGTCTGCATTCCTGCGGCTCTCCCGCGGGAACAGACCAGATTTTTTGCGCTGCAGGATTAAATTCCCGAATAAAAACGCGGTAGCGGTCAGTAACTCTGGTGTAATTTGAACGGGAGCGGGCGGTCTAAGAATATACCGTTCCCGACGTCTATTCAGAACAGCATATCTGCGATTTATTCTTATTGACCACCGGTACAGCTTGCGCTCAGGACTGTTATGCACGCGCTGCACGCATGCTTTTACCGTCACATGTTTTATTTGCGTGGTCTGTGCGCAGCATGTGCATAACGACGCTCAGAGCAGGCTGTACCTGTGGTAAATATACGGCCCTCAGACAGAACAGGCAGGCTGTCGATGAGTGACAGCAGAATAAGGATGGAGCAAAGTGTGGATGCGCTGTCCTTGAAGGACGTTCAGCTCATTTTGGTTTATATTTTGCTTAGCCTATAATTTTAAATGAAAGATGTCGTATTTATTTATTTATCTCTGTGACACTTTTCCTACTGTGTTAACAGAAAAATGTCAAACGAATTTAGTATTTTGACAAGACGAATAAAAATAGCTAATTTTCTCTCTGCGACACATTTTCCTATTGTGTTGTAAATGTTAAACGAATTGTATCCTGACGAATACAAATAAGAAATAACATTTTTGTACATTTTTATTTTCTCTGACACTTGCTATTTTTGTACAACCTACATTTTTTTTTCTCTGCGACACTTTTTCCCTATTGTGTTGTCAATGTTAAACGAATAAAAATAAGAAATACAATTTTTGTACAACATTTTTATTTTCCCTGACACTTTTTTTCCTACAGTGTTGCATAAAATATTAAACTAATTTTGTGTCTTATGATAATTCATATAAATTCAAGTCAAAGTCAATAAATTCAAGACTCTTGACAAGACGAATAAAATAACATGCAATTTTGAGCAGAATACACTTTTATTTGTTAGTTCTCTTTCTTTCAGTAGCGGAAATTTAAACGTGAGATTCTGGAAACGAGATCTAAATTTAGCGGGAACGGTCGGGTCGGGAAGAAAAGTATTCTAAGCATACAGCGGGTAAACAGAGTTAATATATAGCGGGAGGGTGCGGAATATAACCTTGCGGGAGCGGGACTAAAAAAAATAGTCCCGCGCAGACCTCTAGAATAAAGTAAATAAAATATAAAATAATGGAAGTATAATTAAAATAAAAACAATTACATTTAAAAAAATAATTATATAAAATATAAAAAATAACTGACGTGTCTATAAAAAATTCAAACAAAACAGATAAATAAAATTAACAAACAAAATTAGGTATAATTAAAAAACAAATAAAATTAAAATACATAAAATACATTTTCAAAAAAATATATGTATAAGTGTACATTTAAAAATTACATAACTAAAATATAATTTTACTAAAGTATAATAAAAAAAAAGTATAATCAATAAAACGACAAATCAAAGAAAATTTAAATATGAATAAAAAGTAAAATTAAAATAACCAAAATACACATTAAAGGGGTCATATGATTGAGGTAGATATGTGGGGGCGTGTTAGAACGAGCCGTTTTAGGGGGGCGTGGCAGAGTCTTAACTTTGATAAAGAATATCTATTTGGTTTTGAGACTTTAGTCTTTGCAACTTCAGGGGTCTTATCTATGCACAATCAGCTTGTAACACTCCAAAGAGAAAGGAAAACTTGAAATCGCATCATATGACCCCTTTAATATATAACTGAAAGTTAAATTATTTTTAATATATATAATATAAATAGCATAATTTTGCTAAAGTAAAATTTAAAAAGTGATTACAATAAAATGTAAAACATTTTTTAAAAGTGTAGTTACTTAAAAAAAAAAACTAAAAATTCTAAATAAAAAAAAACTAAAAACTAAAATTAAATAATTAAAATTAATTAATTAATAACCAAATAAGAATAACTACGGGAAAAAAACAGAACATGTATAATTAAAATACTTAAGAATTTCAAGTATTTTACTCGCATTCACGAGAAAATTTAATAGCGTTCTGAAGTCCGTTGTTGCAATATAACCCAAGTTTGTCTGTGGTTTTGTCTCTTACCCTGCAGACGTTGTGTTGGCATTCTGTGGTGATGGGCTGATAGACGACTTCTTGGCAGCAGATGCACAGGAAAACTTCCTCCACTTTGTTGATGAAGCGCTACAAGTGTGACACAAACACATTAAACCAGCAATCATCAGAGCAGCTTAATTACAAGACAGGTGACGATAGGCTCTGGTCTGAACGTACAGGTCCGAGGTTGAGAGACTCCATGGCTTCGTCCCACAGCTTCGTGTTGAGCTCGTCGTCCTTGATCAAGGCCTTCTGCTCTTTGCTCAGTTTGTACGCCTCCACTTTCATCTTCTTAGGCGTGCTTTTGGCCGGAGAGCTCTTCTCGTCCACTACGATTGAGAAAAGCGAAGACATTACATACTTGATTTTTAGGTTCGGTCTTTATTAAATCGGAACGATTTCACTTACCGGTCTGGGATTTCCTCTTCCTCTTGCCCTTGGTGGGCGTTTCTTCAACGTCGTCGTCGTCTACGTTTTTGTTCTCTTTCTCCTTTTCTTTCGCAGCTACGGCTTCCAGATAACCTTCAGGATACTGAAGCACCAGAGAATGAGGATTCATGAGCGATTCTCAAACGAAATGGGCGAAACTTGAGTGAAATCTGGCAGACATTACCTGCATGGTGAGCCCCAGTTTCTTAATGCGCTCTTTCCCGTCGCGGGTCCACGGCGCAGGTTCATCGTCGTTACGTTTCAGCAAGTATCTCCAAACAAGGAAGCCGGACTTGCCCTTTTCTGGCCAATACTTCACCACCTAATAAACAGGCAGATTAATTACTTCCCACATGCAACTGCATAAAATATGTATAATTCAAATAAAAATGTATCAAAGAAACTTTTCAATAAAGTATTAATTGAAAAAAATTTGTGCTGTCAAACAATTAATTGCATCCAAAATAAAAGTTTGTTCACATGTGTGTTATATAATATAAATTATATGAATATAAATATATACATGTAAATATTTTCAAAATATATACCGTCTATATACACATAAAAAATATACACACACATATATTGAGTAAACAAAAACTTATATTTTGGATGCGATTAATCATTTGACAACACTAAAAAAAATAAAAAATAAATAGGCCTACAAGCCTGGGAAGGAAGGAATGGAAATAATTACTAAAAAAAAGTAAAAGAAAAAAAGAAAAAAAAATATATAATTATTGAAGTAAATTAATAAAT